GTAAAATATGGACGGCAAACAGAAAAGTCATTGTGCTCCACCTTTAGAAAGGGTACCCGGTCACATTCATGGTATCAGAAAGCCTCAATCCCTGTTCATCCAATTCCATGTTTAAAAACTGAAATCTCAGCTTCTAATCTGAGAAATAAGAAACCTCATGGTGTTGAACCCACAAAGTTCCAAATAATCTTGGTTCCTTTCTATACTCTTGACATTAAAGACACCAGAAATACCACCTCCAGTGCCCCTTTCCTTACATCTGTCCTGTCACCGTAAGAAAGCATCGAGACAATGACAAAACCTATGAACACAGATCTGTGACATTTCTTTCTAAACTATTCAAACACTTCCAAGCCTGAAACCTATTACCTATTTCAATATGGAGAAACGTATAAGCACTAAAAAGTGAAAAATACAGGCCTCCATCTGGTGCCACTAGCAAATGAAAATATACAAGCAATACGTTCTTCTGGCTCTAACAACTACTTTGGTGAAATACTAAATTAAAGGGGGACATTCATTTGAAATTATCATTTTACATAGAGAATTCTGGAAGACCTGAGAGCTTTCTTGAAGTCATGTGCTGACTGAATAACATACCCTTGGTTTAAAGAAAAACATCTGAATGGAATTTAGTCTGCATTTAACCTGATTTCACTGTCATCCTATAATCAACTCTGAAACAATATCGGAGGTAAAGGTTTACTATAAACGCCTGAACGGTCTTTGCCTCTGCCCTTTAACCTGGTCCCCCCAATACCTGCAGTCCGCTGTGGGAGATGTGGCTTGGATTACCTCTGACAAGAGTTATCCTACTTTGGCAAAGTCGTTCTTATAGACTTTCTCTCTCTCTCTCATCTTGAAGCTTTTCCTTGATTAGGAAACTGCTCTCTCTCAAAAAGCAGGAGTTGCTTGAATGGCAAAAATAATACACACACATGCATTTATGACATGATAGGGATCATATGAAATGGATTGTGAAAAGTGGGGGAGGAATAAACTTTATTGGCCGCAGAAGCAATGAGGGAATCAGGAGGAGGACCTAGGGAAAAGGATGAACATGGTAGGAAAACTCAAATGGAATGATTTAAAATGTGCAAATATACTTCGTGACCTCCGCCATTCAACTTAGAGTTAGAGAAGTACCGTGAAACACAGGAAGACTTAAGTGAGCTTCACTCTGTAGTTGATGCTAATTGTACCAGTTTTAGCATTAGTAAGTCACCGTTTAATTCTGCCAAAGTCAGCCAAGGCTCTGTCTGGTTAGTGCAAACAAGGTTTTCCATCCTGGGCTGCAGTCTGACCCGCCAGTGCTCAGAAGGCATGCTTGTGACGACCTCGCACGCTTTCCAGCTCCCCACCTCCAATGGCGGCCAGGGTCTCCAGTCTGCTCAAGCGCTCGAGGCTTCTTCCAAGAACTTCTTCTAGCCGACCGCGTAACACCTGGGCCCCTTCCAGCTCCACCTGCAGAGTTCGGTCTCTCTCAGAGCTGATTAAACATGCCATACGGAAGGAAAATGGGTTAGCCATCAACGGTAATGAGTCTGCACAGGCTCCCAAAGAGCCGTCGACGCCCCTCTGGGCCACAAGGCTTCCTAACGCCGCCGTCCTCCAGGCCATGAGAAGCGCACGCGATCTTATCGTGGGGCTGTGGGCACTGCAGGGAGGTCGGCAGGGCCTGCTCCTTCCTTTACAGCTCGTCCCTCTATCCGAGATTCACGTGACACTATAGTTCCTGAGATTGATCTCATACCCCACAGCTCAAAAATAGAGCAATTTCATTATTTGACTAAGAGCGTTACTTTCTGAAAAATACCAAAACCCAGGAAAAACTATATGCAAATTGAAGCTTCCTAGCAGGACTGCTATGGAAGCATCTGTTCTCTCATCTGTTAACCAGACTTGACAGTGCTCTGAACAGGAATTTGTTCACAGAGACTAAAGGCCCAGAGAGTCTTTAAAAAGTAACACAATCGAGTGGTCGTAGAGTACCTTTCCTCTCCCTTCACTTTCTTGAGGTTGAAAGAAAAAAATTTTAAGCCCGACAATAAACCAGAAGAAACTGAATAGTAAAAGGATAAAAACTGGGAAAGAGAAAAAGGGGCTAAGAGGGAAAACAAAATGAAAAAGGGGCGGGGGGAGGGGAGCATAAAATGAATCAGAATGACATAATATACATGACCCCAAATCAAGAGGTATAGGATGTAGATTATCCATCACGATGGCTTTCAGTGACCCTGGGGTGATATCAGCCACCATAACCTACCGGGACCGGCAGCTGGGAGAAGAGGAACACGCGCTGTGTCCTGACTCCACGCAAGGGTGTTTTAGACACCCGTGAGGTCTTCTCACCTGGTTCTGCAGGAATAAGCACTATTCCTGACTTAAGATTTCGACACTCTGGCTCAGAGCGAGCCACACAACCGATGGCAAACGGGGCAGCCCCAGTGACTGCCTCTGCTCTCCTCTTCTCGCCTCTCCAACATCATAAGCACCTGCGCTTAGTGAGGAACACGAGGAGGAAGGTGCGGTCGCTCGTTTACCTCTCGGGATGGGCGTGAAACTTCACCAGGCTGCTGTAGAGCTGTCTCTCCGCTTGCAGGGCCTCGTTGAGCCGACTCCGTTCGTCTACCAGTCCTTCTAGTGTCAGTAGCAACTGGGGAAAGAGCGAAAGCAACACGGGAATGGAGACACGAGGCACGAGGCCAGCTCATCCTGAGACCAAAAGAACATATTAGCATGTCCCATGACTGAATCCTCGCACTAGCTTGTTACTTAATTAAGCTTTCTATAGTATTTTAGTTTTCAAATCAATCTCACGTGCATTATCTTTTTTTAAAACTCTGTAAGGCAGAGATCAAACATGGAAGCAAGGAGAACAAAGAGGAGAGAGAAGCCAGAAGCACAGGAAAGAGGCCAAAGGAAAGGAGTAAACATGTAAGAGGAATTCCTAGTGGTCTTCATTCATTCATTCACTCATTCATTCATTCGATAAATATTTACTGAGCCCCTTCTATGAGCCAGCCTCTGGTCTGGGGAAAAGCTTAGTCTCTAGCTAGTCGGGGGAAAAGATGCTCATCAATCACACCTGTCACTGTGAACTATAAAAAGTGCTATAAAGAAGAGGAGCTGTTAGTGTAGAACCAGTAGGTCTGTTTAAGTGAACGGGCAGAGTTCAAAGCCAGATTGGAGCGAGGTAAGCAGCGAGTGAGAAGATAGGGATGAGGGACACAGGCGGCACAGGAGAGCAGGTCTTTCTGAAACGTCTGGCATTGAAAAAAAAAAAGGTTAGACATGGGATAGGATCTACAAAAGAATCTGGGGCAGAGGCAGAGATTTTTTTTCCTTTTCCTTTTCCTTTTTTTCAAATTGGGAAAATTTTGAACATGGTTCATCTTTTCCATTGTTTAGTTCACACTAAAAATCAGGTTTGTATTCTAATAACCTACTTGCTGTCTTCGGTTTCCTGAAGCTTCTTGACCCTGTGATTCTACTGAAGCAACTTTTTCCCGAAGAAGTAAGACTTCTTGGGTCAGGCGTTCCATAGCTGGTATGTCTTCGGGATCAACCAGTTGCATTTGCAGGTCCTAGAAGTCAAAAAACAAGACTAGTAATAAAAGTACTACTCGGCCAAGGGGCGAATGCTCCTAAAATAGTCTCCGATACTTTCAGACATGATACTGATCAGCCATATGGAGACAACGATATACTCTTTATGAAACCTCAGCAACTCTGATGCAAGTCAAAGAGAACATGATAACATCAAGAGACTCAATCTAACAGCGTATCAAAGAAATAACGAGCACCAGCCAAGGGACGCAGCGTATCCAGGTGCTGTTTGCAGATGCCCTACGCGTACTCTGCGCCTAACGACTTCCGATGGTCCTTAAAAAGTCTGAAGGACCTTTATGAGGTCTTCTTTAATCTGCACGGTCCGGGTCAGGGACTCCAGGTCGGCAGCCTGCACCTGCAGCTCCTCCTCTTGCATGGCCATCATGGACTGCAGTGCAGAGAGCTCCATCTGCGGGCAGAAGGGGTCCTGACATCAGCGGGCAGAGAAAGCACACCTACCGCATTTACGTTTCAACGACGAGGCGAACGGTGCTCCATATTATCCCACCGCAGCCAGCAACGCAAGTGAAAACTAGAACCTGAACGACGCCTCTACTGGGTCGGTCGCATCTAAACCACGCAGTGCGACACCAAAGGGTGTTGTGGCGGGGGGCTGCAAAGGGGTTTCACTGATGTCGTCCAGTTTGGTTAACACTGTAACATGTCGCGACTTGTTTAATCAATGAATTTTTTATGATACTTGAAGGGGTGGTCTCGCAACATTAGCAGATAGAAGAAAAGATGAAGTTTTTCTTAATATAAGTATTTCAGCTAACAAATGAAAAAAACGATAGAGAAACCTCTACTTTGCACCCCTTAGTGAATTGATGGAAACAGCCATCCAGCATCAACAGCTGCTGACATCACAAGAGACCAATGAACAGTACACGCCCCCAGATGGAAGAACTCGCCACCACCTACGAAGAAGTCCCACCGAATACTAGCACTGTGTGCCCTAAACTTCCAGTCTTGTATCTTCCATGTCTCCTCACCAGAAAATGAGAAATATTTTATTGTAACAAAGTTCACTGATAATCATAAGGAAGAAACATAACTGGAGCAAGACAAAGGTCTGCAATCAGACACGCGTGGGTTTTAAATCGTGGCATAATCTCCAGGACAAGGCATTTAAACTGAGCTTCAGTTCCCTCCACTGTAAAATGAGAACAACATCTACTTTTCAGGGCTATTTGAGAATAGAGAAAATCTAACAGTGTATCTAAACTGCCTGGCACATAGCAGGAAATCAATGAATGAAAACTACTACTATTACCTCAAGACAGTAGGTGGAATGTTAAAAATCTGGGAAACTCTACAGCTTTTGGGGAATATTTCAGCTAACGAATGAAAAAAAACGATAGAAAAACATACACATTGCACCCCTTAGTGAATTGATGGAAACAGCCATCCAGCATCAACAGCTGCTGACATCACAAGAGACCAATGAACAGTACACGCCCCCAGATGGAAGAACTCGCCACCACCTACGAAGAAGTCCCACCGAATACTAGCACTGTGTGCCCTAAACTTCCAGTCTTGTATCTTCCATGTCTCCTCACCAGAAAATGAGAAATATTTTATTGTAACAAAGTTCACTGATAATCATAAGGAAGAAACATAATTGGAGCAAGACAAAGGTCTGCAATCAGACACGCATGGGTTTTAAATCGTGGCATAATCTCCATGACAAGGCATTTAAACTGAGCTTCAGTTTCCTCCACTGTAAAATGGGAGATACATGGTATGAAAAGAGAAATTAAGAGGTACGATAAGATAATTTCATCGCAAATATGAACACAGGTGTTGTGCGATGGATCGGACTAAGGCAAAGCTGAGGAGCTGCCCCGACCAGCGGGTGGCTTTTGGTAAGTACTTAATATTAGAGAGAAAGTAATGATGTATCTAGTGGAACTGAACTGAGAAGTTGGTAGTTGATTAAGGACACATGAAGGTAAGCGACAGAGCTATTTATAATATTCAAACATCCATTTATAGTCATTATAAGTTTACAATCCTGAAAAAAAGGCCAAACTAAAAAGTAACATTACTATGAATTGAATACATATGAGAAAAACAGGAACGGCATGTGGAAACTAAAATATCTGACATGAATAATCAGATAACAGCTAGGGCAGAACCAAAAGAAGAGGGGGTTGGAACTAGGAGATTTTTAAAACTGGTATTTTTTAAAAAGCACACAATTTCATATCCTCAAAACTTTAGTCATATAACCTGAGGCTGCTAGTAAGGAGATACATGGTATGGAAAGAGAAATTAAGAGGTACGATAATTTCATCGCAAATATGAACACAGGTGTTGTGCGATGGATCGGACTAAGGCAAAGCTGAGGAGCTGCCCCGACCAGCCGGCTGACCTGGACGCTGGGTCCCATGGCGCTGACTGGTCGTCTACCATTGTCTGTAACGCCCTACCGTGGCCCTAACATTCCTTCTACATCGGAGCTGGACACACAACTCGCTGCACAGGGAGGCAGAGGGGAAGATTCCATAGGCTGAGGGGCCTCTTCTAAGAAAACGGAGGGAAACTCTACCGCCAGAAATAGAGCATAAGGATGGGGAAAACTATCTGCTCCGGGAAATGACTTCTTAGAAAGCATTTTGAGTCACAAAAGACCCGAGTTTAAATCTTAGCTTTGGCATTTCTTAGTTATAAGACTATTCCCCACTTCCATGTTTTAAAAAGTCAGCTTTTCAGCTTCATCTATAAAACAGGGCCGACATCACCTACTTTGCATGGAGTTATAAGTATTAGCGCTAATTTAAGTACCCAGTACGGTACATTGCATAGAGCAAGTACTCGATAAACATCATTGATTATTCTCAAATTTTCTTGTTCTGTTTCCAAAACCAATTTTGATAGATCTAATGGCATAATTCTAAGCAGCAGTTATACAGAACTTCATTTTTTCACAAATACTTCACAATTATTTTATTCTGGTTAGCAATGGGCAGAGAAAGCTGTGTTACTTCAGCTCTTAAAAAGCTTTAACAGTCTCCATTTATAAGAACAAGAGCATCTTGGAGAGATAATGTGTATATGAAGTGATTTATATTTTTCTCCAGAAAATAAAAAAAAGGCATACCTGGTATTTGGACCCAGAGATTATACTTGGAGAACTGTACTCTTTTAAATAAAAATTATTTTGAAAGAAAAAATAGGAATTTAGAAATTAGGTATGACTAAAACACTCACTCGACTTTCTCTTTCTTTTTTAGCCATGAGTTCAAGTTCCTCTTTGGCGTTACTCAGTTCTTTTTCCAGCCCCGCAACTGCATCCGAGTCCCCTAAAAATGAAAACCAGGGCTAGTTTTAATCACTATTGACATAATGTGATACCTCCTGCCTCATTTCTGAGAATTTACTCTGAGGATAAAAAATAAAAAAACACAAATGCACAGGTTGTTCTTCGCAGCATTATTGGTAAAAGCAAAATACTGCAAGCCGCCTAAATGCCTATAAAAAGACTGAGTAAATCACAGTGTGTCCACATCAAGGTTAGATTTTCTATGTGAAGTTACATTGCAGTTACGTAGGAGAATGCCCTGTTCTCAGGAAATACATAATGAAGAATTTAGGGGCAAAGTGTCATGATGTCTGCAGTAATTTTTAAATGGCTCAGAAAAGAATATCTGTGTGTGTACATACAAAGAAATAACGCAAATGTATCGGGGTATTCAAGGTACTATTTTTGACACTTTCTACAGGTTTGAAATTTGCAAAATAAAAAAGTGGAGGAAGTTACTTTTTAAAAAAAGGTTAAAATAGGCAGTAAATTAAATAAATCTAGTATTCTTTACTCTTCAGCTAGCACAGTTTTCCTATGCAAAAAATGACTACTTGTATGACCTATTTATGGAATTCCAGAAAACCCTACACTTTAACATAGATGCTTAGTTTTTATACTCTTAATATCATTAAAAAATCCTGAGTTAATTCCCTAAGTCTGCAAACTTTCTTCTCGTGGGACTACAGTCCCCACTTCACTCATCCTGGCAAGTCCCTCCTTTTGGAAGGGCAATGTCTTCCTCGAAACTACCCCAGGTCCCAACATGCTGTTCTGCAAAGGTCACACTCTAATCCCAGTTTCCACTGGGATTCTGCTCCCACCACACACAGAATTGGGTTGTTTTTAGGGAGTTCGAGGCCTATGACCATCCCTTGGATGGAGCTGAGCTTGGCAAATAACTCAATGTACACTGCCTGCCTCTCCCGACACTGGTATGTAGGTGACGTCAAGTGACAGTATCCTCGGCCTTCTGAAAAGATCTCCGGGAGGAGGTACGAGGCCCGTGGTCCTGCTATGCACGTTTGGAAACTCTGCCTCCTGCATCTGAAGCCCTGTGAAGCTGTCTGAAGAGGAAAATTATGATGCAGTTTCCCTGGGCCACGCTGTGGACCCGGAGCAGTAACCTCGACTCAAGGTAAGGGCAGTTCTCCGAGAACAGACGTGCCTCTCCCTCTTGGGGGAACCTGAACTTGTTTTTTCCATGACAGTAGGAAGGGAAGAGAGTCTTGGCCAAACCTACTAACAGAGAATTCTAGGAAGAAAAGACAGACGTCCCTTCAGGAAATGAAACCCGATACTTACCTAAGGAGGGCCTGGGCAAGCTGGTATCCCCTTTGGCAGTCAGTGGACTGTTATCACCTCCGGAGGGTAAATGCACTGAACCCTAAAAATTGGAAGAGTTGGGGGACTTAGGAAGATGCAGGAACTGTGACAAGGACTTGGGGGTGTTCTCACATGACTCAGCATTAAAATGATCAAACTTATGCTTCAAATATAAAAAGCAAATGCTGCTGGCATGAGTATCTGCACAAGTCCATAGTTCTTACTTGGTCAATCTGCTCCCCAAGATGGGGGCTGATGCAGGTGACTTCAGTTGGCTGGTTAGAGATGAGTGCTTGGGACACCATGAAGTCTTTCCCTCCTAAATACTGGCGCAGGGCCTGTAATTCTGAAGTTCTTTCCATTAGGGCTTGTACCATCCTTTCTGCAGCAGCCTAGTAAAGAAATCAAACATAACATTAGAAAGATACTCTAATAAAACAGACTTTGTGTTCCGATGTCATTCGTTAGAAGCTGACTGTTTATGAAGCCAGAGGGACCCTAAAAAAGAGTTTCTTTGCTTTCAGTTTATAGGGGAAAACATAGTCGAAGAGTGGAAGGAAAGTCTCTCATAGGCAGAATACTGGAAAAACTGAATATAACAAAACTATTAAATATAAAATAATCTGAAATTGGTTCTGCTAGAACTCTTTCAGACTAAAGTGTCATGGCGGTGCTTTGGACTGGGATAAGAGATGTCTTTCTTTACTCTGGGGCATGTGCCTTTGACCTGGACGTTCTTCGCCCTAACTCTTGTTTGCTTTGCTCCCTTCGGGTCTCTGCCACAGTTATCTTGTAAGATTGGCCTTCTCCACACGGACTATCAAGACAGTAATCTCTTCTTTATTCCCAATTCTCCTTGTTGTGCCAAATTTCTTTACCATGTACTTACCATTATCTAATATATATTTACTGTCTCTCTCTCTCCCAGCCGGATATAAATTTCCTCAGGGCAGGTGCTGTGATGCTTTTGTTCAGTGCTGAATCCCAAGGACCCAGAACAGTGTCCAGCACAAAGGAAGCACTTAGTACATATTTACTGAATGAATCGATTACACAGAAACTTTTGCATCGGATCATATGATCAGGAGAATCTAAACCTCAAAACCACCAAACCCAGTTGATTTCACTTCGAATCCCATAGTTTTCAAAGATGGATGATGGAATAAGAAAAAGATCCAGAACATTACTTGTGACTATCACTACATAAAAGTCTGCATTTCATCAGAAAATCTGGAAATAATAAACTAAGGCGAAAATTACTGGGGGTGTAAGATGATGAATCGAAACTCGGTTAACTGTATCATAGCACCAACTGCCTCTGAGAAGAATTACTACTATTTTCAATGAGAAGTTGGGCTCCTGTTATAATTTCTAACAGAAATAAGAGAATAACTCCATTTTTAATAAATAATATTTGGGCGACTTAGGGATTTAGACATAACCGTGTTAGAGGTAACAATCCATTATTAATTTGCCTTAATAAAAAAAATCTCTGTAAAAATTACGGTATAGAACAAAATGAATAACATATAAGCTCTCTTGCGTCACGGATGTGCCCTGTCTGCCTTGGTGTTCTCTTCCTAGCAGTACTGTTTTGGGCAGTGCTCCTCCCAGTGTGGTCCATGGACCAGCAGCCTCACCATCACCTGCAAGCTTGTCAGACACGCAAATTCATGAGTCCCCGCTGTCTACCCGCCAATTTCTATCTCTGAGATGAGCCTGGGAATCCATGTTTTAAAAAAGCTACCGAGGGGATTCTTCTGCATGTAAAATTTGAGAAGCAGATCTGAAGAACGCAGCCATTGCTCCTCTCGCGTTGGGGCTCTTCTGCCATTTCCGTCATCTCCTAGGATCCATTATTTTACTGCCAGCAGCCTACAGTATTTCTTTCTGAGATGTAATAAGACTAATTCTTTCAAATAACAAAGGGGTTAAAAAGAAAACTCATATAAAGACTTATTAGGCTCTTGCCAGAGACTTGAATAGCTCGCAAAGGTTCTGTTAGGTATACATCACAGAAGCCATTTCTGCAGCACGAGGCAGCGTGTTTCTGACAAAATGTGTATTTACTCAGTGGGCCTGAGAATTAGAGGAGTGGAACGTCAGCGCCCCATTATATACGGAGGCACTAGAAACATGATGCTTAGATAACGCAGGCAGATGGTAAGAATCTAGTTGTCTCTAGTTGTCTCTATGGAGATTTTAAGTGACTGGTCCCTGAAATGCGGCACAAGTCAACTATGCCAGTCTCCAGCCTGGGGGAGGAAGGTATACGAGAATGAGGAGAAATTAGGAATTTACTTTTGAAATACCTGTGTACCATTATTTTGAGATTAACTTATCCCATGTTATTAAGAGATTACATATTCTCATCGTGGTTTTGAAAAACACAATCCTTTTTTTTTTTCCTCTTAAGATCACTCAGCTTTTACAAAAATTAAGAGAAAATATGTGAAGTGTAAGTTTTCCCACACCCTGCCTGGAAATACAAACTATCACTCAAGTCTTGATAATTTAGAATCAAAATCAAAACATTCCAGAACTCCCTATTCCTTTCTTTCAAAATTATCAGAATATTAAGGAAAATAAGATAGACATGAAGTTGACGGGCGGGGACATGTACTGTTCAGGCACCCTTCCAATGCAAAGTGTTCTAAAAATAATACACACTTTGATGAATGATGTAAAACTGTAGTCTAGTTAACAGACTGAACGAAAAAAATCTAAAAGAATAGACTGTAAAAGGACATAAACACACATCACGAGGTTCAAAAGCTTCCTACGTGCAGACTACAAACGTGCTGAGGGACGCTCCTCCGGTCTGCGCGTTAGCCCTCACCTGGCTCGCCTGCTCCCTGGCGCTCACAGACTGCAGCAGGCCCTGAATCTCCACTTCGTGCTCCGCGGCTTGCCTGTTTCGGTCACTGAGGAGGTCCTGCAGCGCCCTTTCCTTCCGCTGCAGACGCTGGCACAGCTCCTCCGCGATCTCGCTCTGTCCTGGTCCGAGTTTGCAGAGCAGCGTTGCACTGAGATCCTAAGACAGAAGAAAGAGTTTTTTTTTGTGTAAGTTTTGAAGGAAAGAATCGCCTCTACTACAAAGGGTAGACTGTACTACAGGAGGAGCTGTGAGATTCTGAAGAGCAAGTATGATATCTTATTTAGTTCTGTTTACCTGGATCTAGCACACAGGAGGCTGTAAATATGTGCTCAGTGAATGAACACTACAATACAGAAAGGCTTTTCACTGTTATAGATGCAACTTAGATATTGTTTTGTGAAATAAGTCCTTTCCCTATTTGCTCAGGACACATAATAGATATTAAATGAGAATCAATGGATACTCGGTTCATTCATTTTCTCCCCAGTGTAACTTCATGGGTGGGACAAAAAATACGCTGAAAAAGAATGACGAGCGCCGCATTTTTTAGCACAGTGGTACAGCTCCTATTTCCACACCCAGAGGCAGTCGGTGGTTAAAGCCGTGGCTCCGCGCTGCCTGGGCTGCACGCTGGCTCTGCCACTGATCGGCGATCTCACTTTGGACAAGTCACCTCACGTCGGAAATCTGTTAACTTATCCGTAAAAGAGGAATAAAAGTATGTACCTCACAGACTTATGAAGATTCATAAGATGCACTAGGCTCTTAAAATGGTACCTACACAGCATGAGCACCCTAACTACTAAAGGTTAGCTTTCATATCGGAGGTGCATTTTTAGATCTCATCGATTTTCACATAATTCCTTTGAGAAAGGTAATTGTCTCCGTGAGTTTACAGGTGTAGGGACAAAGATCCGAGGGAAAGCCAATGACTTGTCTCGGCACAGAGTGGAATGAGACTTGGGTCACTGACTCCAGACTTCAAGAGCCCTCTTCCGAGACGGAGTTATGTAATCACTAAACCAACTGCCTCTAAGTTAACTAAAGTCTTGCCTCTACTTCTTTGTTCCTGTCGTGCAGAGACGTCTGCAACTGCTGAATGATACTTTCTTGTTCCTTTTGCCAACGGCCAAATTTGGTTTCCATTTCTTCCTTCAGCCACTGGAGGTTTTGACAGGTAGCAGATAACTGTTCCACTTCCAGGCCTTTGGCCCTCAGGAGACTCTCCAGACTCTGGTCACAAGGAAAGCAACTGTGAGTCGAAGGGCCACCCACTCTTCAGATAAATAAGAAACTGGATCCACCTTTACATCACCTCCTAAATTATCCAGCAACTTTTTTACAAGAAAAGGAAACTTAGTATTTAATCTAACAATGCCAAACTAATCTATTTTCTGTTTTTAGAAACTCTCGTCTAGTTTATAGAGAGATAAATATACAGCAAATGATAAAGGAAATGTTTTGGAGGGAGCCGGCTATGCTATAGAGGAAGTGAAAGACTTAAGAAGTGACAAGCGGTTAGGTATATAAGCTCTAAAAGAAATATACAAAAATAGCCCACAGTAAATATCAATAAAATAAACAAGTGTTCTGGAGGTGGCCATACAGGGACATACATATAACATTAAAGAGAAGGCCACGATACAATAGTTGCGCCTGGTGATGCTTATGTAAAAGTATACAGATATTGACAAGGACTAGAAATGAATTAGAACCATGTATACGAATCCACATTCACTGCCTCCCCCGCAAAGTTCCTGAAAGTGCTAAAACTTCTCACTTTCTAACCTACAGTGATGAAACCAATGACTGCTGTTTTTGTTTGGTTTTGTATTTTTTTTTCCTCATGAAGCTAATACCCTGGTTTTTGGCAAATGGTGGAAGGGGCCGATGCTTCAGGAGTCCGAGTGGGAGAGGGGGCCGCGCCGTGCCAGCTTTCGCTCTCACCTGCATGGTGGCTTCGTTAGAGGAGAGGACCCCACGTAGCCTTTCCAGGTCGTGGTCGCGCTCTCTCACGGCCAGACGGAGCTGCCGCAGCTCCTTCTCCTTTTCTTCTAGAGAGGAGAACTTCTCGTCTATGGCCCGCTGCAAGGAAAGCAAGCACGCTGAAGCTCCGCCACGGTCACTATCATGACCACCCTTTGCCAGTAAGAGTCCAAACGTCAACTCCGAAAGGCGGCAAAGTAAGTAGACACACATTTCTATAGAAGCTGTGTGGGCACGAAAACCCACAGCGCTGTCAGCAACATTGTGGGACACACCTCTAGAGCGACGTCTCTATCCTGTATCCGCTGCCGCAGTTTCTCAAGCAACATTTCGTTTGCTTCAAAGGCTTTGTCCGAGTTATCTCGATACTGCAGGAGCTCCCGAAATTCCTAATGAGACCAAAAAATATTTTCTTTTATTCGTTTATCCAATATTAGCGGAACTCCCACACTTTGCCGAGCAATTTGTTAGTTATTCGGGATAAAAAACAAAATGTGGTCACTCTCAAGGGGAACACAGTTTAGCAGAGATAAGACATATAAATTGTTGACTATTCTATCGTGTGTGTGTGTGTGTGTGTGTGTGTGTGTGTGTGTGTGTGTGTGTGTGGCTACCTACTAGGGGCACAAGGATGCACTGTCTAACTTGGCCTGAAGGTGTCCCTAAAGATCTCACGAAAGAGGTTCCAGTTGCTCTGAGTCTTAAAAGGACAGAAGCTTCTCAAGTGAAGAGGTCACCGGTGGGGGTATTTCTACCAGAGAAAAAAAATGTATGCACAATAAATGCATACTCTGAAAACATTGTGTGCTCGGCAAAAGGCGAGGGAGTAATGTGACTGAAGCTTAGAGCAGGCGGCAGAACTGATCACTCTTCCTTAGCGTTCCACTTCTCCCTAAAACTTTCGTTTTATCGTCTAAATAACTGTGGCAATTTCTATACAAATGTCTTCACCTGCGAGACTGAGAGCAGTGGGCATATCTTCTCCTTGTCTCCCGGCACCTGGCACGCTACCTGACACTCACAGAGAGGCTGAATAACCACTCACCGAGTAGAGATTAAGACTTTCGGGTCTGTCTTTATTGTTTCTTACACTTGTGGGTGAGCATCTTGGATCACAGACTGTACTTACTATTTATTTTGAATCTTCCTGATTCCCAGCTCTCAATGTTCTACATGCAGCAGGTACTCGACACAGGTGGACTGCTATCTTGAGGTTATGTGAACAAAAACTTTCAGGGCTCTCTGAGGCTAGTGATGGTTGAAATCATTATGTGGCCTCACCTGAAGCAGCTGCTCTTTGTGACTCAGACTGTGATTTAGGTGCTGAATGTGTTGCTCCTGGGTTCGAATCTCATTGTATTTTTCAGTCTCCAGAGTAAGAAGCTGTTGGCTCTTATTCTGCAATTCTCCTTGTATCTGCTGCAAGGCTTTTCGCAATTCCTGAATTAAAGAGATTTCCTTTTTTAAACAATCCAAAATTTTCACACGGTCACATTAGATATGAAGGCCTTAAAACTTTCCAGGCATGTGGAATGAAATATAAAGTAGCACAAAGTGCAATTCTTAAAGTGACTATAGAAATATACATGAATCAAACAGGATGTGGGAAGCTGTGCAAATTGAATAGAGATAGAATGTAAATTTGATATTGTAGTTCGATACTAATTTTTTGGTTTAAAAATGATAGATTTTTATAACTGCTAAGCATGACCGTCACACTATAAACCCGGATTTTTTACTTTACTGTAAGATCAAGGATAGAATAGTTCTATCATCCTTTTAAATCTTTAAAAAAAAATTGATAGCATATGCTCTAAGTTAACAAGAAACCATTGAGTTATGTGTTTTATTTTAAAATACATGTACACACGGTTAACTGCGCATGCCATCCCTGGGTCTCAGTTGTCCTTCCCCCCTTCCTGTCTCGCTGGCTTTCGCCATCCTTCGAGAATAACTTCAGATGCTGCCTCCTTCATGAAGCTTTCCCTTCGCTCTTGCCCACCCCCTCCTACTTCTATAGGACCCTATGCGTTCCTCCTCTGTAGTATTTACCACACCGAAATTCTGTTTACGTGACCGTCTCTCACATTAAATTACAAAGAACTTAAGAGAAAGAGCCTGGGATTTTTACTCTTGTATCTCCAGAACACGGCCCAAAATTCAACACATGGTATGAGGGCAGCAAAATGAACTGAGCTACTTAGATTAAGCAAATGAATGACTCAAGGGTTCAATACGAACTGTCCTGATAACAAGTTATTGTCGGGGCAAAGTCAGCATTTAGGGCCACAAAAGGATTAATGATTTACCTGGTTATGCTGCCAAGAAGCCTCTCTCTGCTGTTCTCTGTCATGGGCCGCAGCCTCTGCAAACTGGACACATCGTTCGGCATCGGCCAGCTGGCGTTCCTTTTGTCGGACCACCCTCTGGAGCTTCTGTATTTCCAGCTGGCTGCAGAATAAAGCGCTCTGAAGGTCAAGCAAAGCCACCTGCTGCTGAGCTGCAGAAGCACCTTCCGAACTCTGCAAAAGAGAGTAAAAACCATAACCTCAAGGAAAGCGAGCACCGAGCAGCCGAGAAGACCAGCAAGGTCGAGGCTGTGGCTAAGAATGGCGCTTCCTCAACCAGCCTCGCCCGGGTGACCCTCACGCACGTGGAGCTGTCCAAGCTCGCTCTGGTGCAGCATTTCGCGGAGCTTCGCCATCGTGTCGTTCTGACCTTCGATTACCTGGTACAACTCCTCGGTCTGAAAGAGAGAGAGGAAGTGCCAAACGTATTAGTAAACTAAACATAAATTCCATTATCTCACCCGTAACAGGACTGCTCCGAAACATCAATTTAGGTCAAGCTACAACTTCTCTAGGCTAAGATTTGTTAGTCTGACAATATCCATCTCTACGAAATACAGAATACTTGTCCACTAGGATGGGACAAATCGTTTCCTCACAGGTCCTTGATTGCCAAGTATTTACCTCACTTTCCCTGCTTTTCAGAGTTTCCTTGAGGCCCTGAATTACACCATCTTGCTTCTGAGTTGACTCCTGAGCAGACTTCAGTTCGTAGTCCATTTCATTCAGTTTCTCTTGAAGAATCTGAATTCAGCAAAGAAAAACGGTTAGGTCAATGATTTCTTTTAATCTCAAATGTAACCATAAAGTCCGTCCTCAAATTTAGTTTTAAAGGTCTTCTTCAGGAATATCACCTTGCTATTTTCCTCACATACAGTAACCATTAAAGTATTAAGTCAATCAGCAAGAGAAAGTAGCAGGATATATGAGATACTTCCTTTGGTATTCGATTGCTTCGGTTCTCACGCATTGTGCTTTCTCTATGATGGCAGCCATACTAGGCACTTGGCCACACAAGTCACTGTGGATCCCTTACACAAAGACCAAGGAGCTTCTGCTATCTATGATGGGACAGGACTACACCAGGCCTGAAGCTCAGCATCCGAATTACGGTAATTCCCTTCTAAGCACATGTTAAAATCCATGTGATATGAGGTGATGAGAGGTTAAGCCAAAGTCAGAAGCACAAAACTCCTGTCTGGGCACCTCATACAGGTAAAGACTTCATTCGAGTTTTCATCACAGACCTAGGAGGCACCGGAAATTCTGATCCGTGCAGAACAGGCTAAAATCCAGATGAGAAATAAAGGACTATACTTTTAGATCAAATATTACCAGGCACACACAGTGTCCATCTCCCAAGCCCTACTCAAAGAGGCTGACAGACTCGACTGGAGTCAGTCACATCCTCGGTAAAGCTGTGGTCTCGAAGAGGTCACGGTGGTGGACATACCTTGTTGGTGGCCTCTATTTGCTGGATTTTTTCCTGGAGTTCTGCCACGTGAGAATCGGATACAGGCTGTTGAGTTATAATGGTCTCATTTGAATTCAGCTTTTGTTGTCTGAGTGACTCTTCAGTCATGGGCTAGGAAGAAGCAGCAAGACAACTGAGTTGAGTTAAAAGTAACCGACATTAAATTTTATCTTCCAACATTTTTTGGCACCTTTTGCCAGAGACTTAGAAAACCAGAGCTGTTGCATGAATTATCAGTATGGATTCCTGAACAGTCCTTTTCCATATTAACAGTACTGATTCACTTCCATCCTCCCTACGCGCCCTAGCTTACCTCCCTACTGCTTTCTACAAACTATGCAAACACTACATATTCAGTTAAAGCAATTAATTCAGAGTTTAAAGAGAGGGGGGTGGTTCAAAATAGAAAATGCTTATGGTGACCAAATATTTGCTTTATCCTATTTTCGATCAGAGAATTCAAAAGGCATACTGATCAAATTTATGCCATCCTTAAGAGAGGAAAAGTTATATTCCAATTATCTTTCTTATAATATGCCTGCTTGATGGAAAAAAATGGCAGATTTGACTACGGACTACACATTAATATTATTTTATCAACACTAAGTCCTGTAGTTATGCAAGAGATGCCCACATCTTTAGGAAGTAATTGCTGAAGTATTTAGTGTAAAGGTGCATAATATCTGCAACTAATTATCAAATGGTTTGGGAATAAAAAAATAGTGTGTCTACAGACAAAGGGAATGATAGACCAAATATAGCAAAATATTCACAACTGGTGAATCTGGGAGTTCTTTGTACTTCCCTTGTGATGTCTCTAAGTTTGAAATTATTTCAAAAGAAAAAGTTAAAAAATTAAAACTAAATTTTAAAATCTACAGTGGTCTGGGAAGGAGGTATGTATTATAGGAATATCAGTTCTCCAAAACAATTAAGATAAAAACATATTATTGATATATGGGATGATCAATCTAAGATAAACTTTTTGAACTGTACCACTCATTATGAGCTACAGAATTCACTGTGGCATTAAACTCCAACTTCTTCCTCTCTGCTCTTCCCATTCCAAATAGAAAAAATATAAACCCAATAGGAAGAGAACAAAAGGGCAATTGCTATTCATTTTTTCTTCTTTCAAACTCTGATTATCACCTTGCAGAAAGTGGAGTTACAGCTGACCTTAAATTAAATCTCTTTCCCACCAGGAACTGAACAGAAGTAAAAAGATTTCAGGAGAAAAATCTTTGCTAGTCCTCCAGCGCCATTCATCAATTTTTCTACTTCATCATGTATAGCTATCTCCTTTGCTCATTATGCTCTCGCCCTGCACTATCCTGCACATCTACTGGGTACCCTAGAATGCGAAGCACTGTGGAGGCTGGAGTGAGGAGCTACATAATAAAGGAACAAGGAAATACACAAAATATCAGATAGTAACAAGTCTTAGGCAGTGAAACAGGAAAGTGGTTGTTACTCTAAATGGTGGATCAGTGAAAGGTCTCTATGAGGCAGCATTTAAATAGACATCTGAATGACAAGGAGCCAGTCCTGCAAAGACCTACAGAAGAACAACCTGGGCTGAGGGAACAGCAAATGGAAAAGACCTACAGTGGACATGAGCCTGGGGAAGAGAAAGGCCTACGCGACTAGAGTATCACTTTCTGAAAGAAATGCAATATGAGCCATATGTGTAATTTAAAATTTCCTAGTATCTTCATTGACTAAGGTAAAAATAGGTGAACGTAATTTTAACAAAATGTCTTATTTAACCCAACATACTATATCCAAAATATTATCATAAACATGTATTCAATAGAAAGATTATTAACAAGATGCTTTATATTCTTTTGGTACAAGTCTTTGACATTAGGGGTATGCTTCACACTCGGAGTACATGTCAGTTCAGTCTAGCCACATTTCGAGTGCTTAACAGTCACATGAGGCTAGTGGCTACCCTGCTGGACAGGACAGGGCCAGAGCGAAATGGGCCAAGGAGACAGGAATACATGCTGAGGTTGGAAGGAAGGAAGGCAGGGGCCAAGTCATGTACAGCTTCTGGACACCAGGGTTAATGAAATTAAATTTCGTAGTCATTGAAATGAGAATGGACTGCAGTGTTTTACCAGAAAAAGAGTTCACTCATTTAAATTCTGAAAAGCTCCCTCAAGCTGCTCTGTGCGGGTGGGGAGGGCACCAGCAGAAACAGGGAGGAGGCGGGCAGGAGGTGGCTGCAGGAATACCTTGGGCGGTAGTGGAAGTAACGGACGGGGAGAGCAATGAATGAATAGATCCCGATATGTCTGGAAAGCAGAGTCGTCAGGACTGGATGGTGGGAGAGAAAAAAAGGGAAAGGAATCAAGGAAAATGACTCCCAGAAAAATGGAGATATCCGCTGTTGTGGGATAACAGGAGTCTTGTGCCCTGAAGCTGTGTGAATTACGTCACGCCACAGGAGAGGTGACTACGAAATAGTGATGCACGAAAAATTGTAGCTGATAATTTTATTGTTTATTCAATGCTAAAACATTCTCTACAGAACTTCTCACTTCCTCGGTGTAAAACGACTTTCCAGTAACACTTATTTTATTCTCCAAATTTAAACTCTAACAAGCAGAATTAAAGAAAACAGTCTCAAGTTTAAAACGGCAGGAAAGGTGGTCATGTTATGCACTTTGAACTAAAGAATTTTAGCGCTGTGAAGAAAATCTTTCAGCTATCTGGTCCGATCTCATCTTACATTTGAGGAAATGACGAAGGTAATAATAATCTGTCCAAAGTTACACAGGAAATCAGGCAAAGGATCCGACTAAACCGAAAGCACTTAAGTTGGTAATGTATCTTTCACCTTTGTAAACCCGCTGCCTACCGTAATGCCTGGAATATCATAGGGAGCAAAGGTTTTTAATTAGTGAACAAGAACAGTAAAAACAAAAGCAAACAAACAAAAACAGGCCTGTCTCCTAAGTCCTAGGCTCTCTTAGAAATCAACTAGAGAGATGATTGATAGACAGACAGACAGACAGATAATGTTTAATACAGATATTTCAACAGCAACTTTAAAGCCAAAGAATGCCACAGAAAAGTACATTTGAATCTGGACCTTATCTGAACCATCCTGACATCAATTATACTAAACACCTAATTCTGTAAATGTAATGTACTGACCTAAAAGCTGGAAGATGTTTGTTTCTTCTTTCTTTGTAATACTTTATTGTTTTACATTTCAGAAAAAATGTCCTTTCAGATAATAGTGTCAAAAGAGCACTTAGCAAAGTCTCACTGAGTCAACGGCTCATATCGAATGTGTACGAAGCATCAAGTACATTAACCAATAGCTCCTAAGAAGATTTTATAGAGCCTGAAATCAGTAATACTTGATATAGTTAATCAGTGTTAATCTCCAGACTATCAGCTACTAAAATCATGTTGTAAGAATAATTTTGAATTATGTTGCTTTCGACTCAAGACAAACCCTTTCCAGTATCGGAAAACAGAATTGCTTCCAGGTCCAAGGCTGTAGAATACAAGACCTTAGGGCTAAAAGGCAGTAATTTTGATCTTCTGGGTAAACAGCATTTTTCTTGGCACTTTCTAGTTTTCACAATAGCAAGTCATAGATCTCAAACTGCTGTAATTTCCTATCCTATTGTTACGAAGAGGAGATACACAAGAACCATCAACTGGCATAAAATTAAAGGCCTAATCTTTGACCAGCATCTAACGCTTACACCTTCCGAAGGGCCTGATCTAGGTTATGCAGCTAAACTGTGAGAGGTATAATTTACCGCAGTCACTCACACAGGAGCAGACCTGGCATTGCCAGGCCTGAAGCAAAGATCTCCTGCTCTCTGAATTTACATAGAAAAGGAAGTTGCACATGGGCCAGAGCTGAAGTGATGTACTCAGGGACCACACCCCTCCTATCACAGCTTTTCTAGTTCATGGCCAGACAATGAAGAAGAAAATAGCAGCTAGAATAAAGCTTCAAACCTTTCTTCTGATATCCAAACAATCATGGGGGTCTTCAGGCATAAATTCTATAGAAGGCCAGTCAATTTACATAATATCAGAAAATCAGTAAGCAGAACTACACTGTTGCTGTTTTTCTTATATATAAGGAAGAAAGAACAAAAGAGAAAGAGAGGAGAAAAGCAATCAGGAGGAACTGTGGTGGTGATAATAATGCACAGAATGGCACAAATAGAGCACTAAACAAGGAATCAAAATGACCTTGCAGAAAAATCAGTCTTGCTCTTTTGAAGAAAAGGTTTTCTTTATATATGTAGCACAATTTAACTAAAGGATTTCTTTCTTTCATGTTTCTTCCTTCTACAAACTAAAAAGACAACTACCAAAAATAATTTACATTTATTTCTATTCTATCCACATTTGTTCAGAGAAATAGACAACAACCAGTCTGCCTTTGTCCCCCTTAGCTCTGGCTTTGTCATAAAGCACAAGCCTTAAGGAGCTTCAATGTCACCCTGACTAAAACAATAGATCAGGGGCCTAAAATTCACATTTACAAACACTTTGAGCCCAATTTATCTTTCCATTTTCCCCCACATCCTTAATTATTAGAGAAAATGGCACAGTAATTAAATGCCATGATTCTTTAAGCTGAATGCTATTTTCTCCCTTCTCTCAATTTTTTATTATTTAACAAACAGTAAAGAATGTAAGCCAGGTGACAGCAGAAAGGTCACATACTACTGTTTTAAACATCTATTTTCCTAATGTCCCAATTTAGTGAAGTAAAGGAACTTGACCTAAAGGCACAATGACCATATTTTAAATGTGCTTATTAGGAT